CCAGCGAGGCTGTGCATCCCACGCGGGACAGCTCTGCATACATCTTCCGGCATGTGTTCCATAGGTTTGCCAACACAGCTATAGAGTATGTTGTAGTTGTAGATGAACCTACAGTCGCTCACACTGGTGATGTTATCTTGTTAGGTAATGAGATGTCTACCAACAAGCACCTAAGCTGTGAGGTGACCACAGACTTCACACTTCACCCCCTGAGTTACAGATATACAGTACTCTTCTATTGGCACAGGATCCTAGTTTAAAACTTGATAATTTTGTAACACAAGAAGCCCAAGTTTCTATCACATCAAATTGCAGTTGTCACAAGAATTATTGAATACATTTTCGGTTCTTGCTGAAGTGAGCAAAAAAAAAAAAAAGGCAGAAGTCTCTGGCCCCCAACAGATTTTTCTCCCCCGCTAAAGCTTCCAGATCTTACGACCAACAGCTCTGGAATGTATGCAATCAAATTGTGTGATTTGAAAATATCTGACGTTGCTGATGTTCAGAAAGAAAAGTTTCATCAGTGCTGATTTGCAATTCAATCAGCCTCTTCTGTCACTCTTCACCGAAGGCTGTGTTCTGGGTTGTTCTCTGGAGTTGGCAGAAAACCCCTCTCTCCCCATTCCCCTCTACATCTGAATCACTCCTCAAACGCATTATACCAAATAATACATAGTTAATAAGTGCTGAATGTTGCTAGAGCCACAAATTACATTATAATAACTTGAGCGCATTCTTGACCTATTTAAGCAGCATAAAGTATGCAGATAAATGTCTAAATTTGCATCAAGTTACAAGCCAGCAACCAAGTTTTACAAACAGCACTCTTTCCCTTCTGCAAAAATCTGCCGAGGGCTTCATTTGGCGATGCCACAAAATGCATCAGAACTTTGAAAAATGTTGTGTTTTTTTCTATAGAATGACATTTCTGCAAATAAAAGGACTCTTTTGGTTGCAAAAGAGAACAGGACACCACCAGGGTTGAAGAAAGAAGATATTTTTGTCATGTTTGACAATTCCTCTATTCTTGAAATGCCCCTTTTTATAAAACCCTAGTAAGACCACACTTGAAATACTGCAACCAATTTTGGTTAGATACTACAAATAAGATGCTGAGACTTTAGAAAAAGTTCAGAGAAGAGCAACTAAGATGACCAAAGGCCTGGAGACTAAACCATATGAAAAACGGCTGCAGGATTTGGGTTTGGCTAGTCTAAAGAAAAGAAGAATTAGGGGTGACATGAGAGCAGTATTCCAGTATTTGAGGGGCTGCCACCAAGAAGAGGGGTCAAATTATTCCCCAAAGCACCAGAGGGCAGGACAAGGAACAATGGTTGGAAACTGATCAAAGAGAGAAACAACCTGGAATTAAGGAGAAACTTCCTAACAGTTAGGATAATTAACCAGTGGAACAGCTTGCCTCCAGAAATTGTGGCTACTCCATCACTGGAGGTTTTTAAGAAGAGTCAGACAGACACTTATATAAAATGGTATAGGTTCTCCTGATTGAGCAGGGGGCTGGACTAGAAGACCTCCAAGGTCCTTTCCAGATTTCTATTCTACTCTACTCTACTCTACGCTACTCCATTCTATGCCAATGAAGATTGCATCCTTTTAAAATGAAAGAAAATAATCCCTACTGCTCCTGAGATTTTGGTGGGTGGCAAAAATCTTCCAATGTTTCAAGTTATGCATTTAAGCAAAATTATGCCTGCTTCATGGTTAATACTGGGTAGGAAGGTTAGGGTTGTTTATTTCATATTTAGAAGGAATGTGACTAGGTTCCTACCAGCTCTGCTTCTTGCCACCTGCAGCATTTCAAGAGTTCTGTTTTTGTGCATATTATAATTATTTTGCTTTCAAGCTGTGATTACCAGCAAGTATTCCTTAAGCTGCCTTTTGGATAAGTGAGCTTGATGGCACTTCAAAACTAGCATGTCTGTATAACTGTATATAAGACATTAAGGGCCTCAAAAGTCACAGGAGAACATGAATTCAAGTCCCACCTTAGCCATGAAAGCCGGCTAGATGACTTTGGGCCAGTCGTTTTTCTCTCAGCCCAACTCACCCCACAAGATTGTTATAGGGAAAATTGGAGGAGGAAGCTGTGTTAGATTTGTTTGCCACCTTGAGTTATTTGTAAACATAATAATGATGGAAAGAAAAAAGAAAGAAAGAAAAAAGAAAGAGGGAGGGAGGGAGGAAGAAGGAAGGAAGGAAGGAAGGAAGGAAGGAAGGAAGGAAGGAAGGAAGGAAGGAAGGAAGGAAGGAAGGGCTAATCCTTAAAGAGGGTTTAAGGCCAGAGAAACAATCGAGACAATATCCTAATCATGGAATCAGGAATCAACAATCCTAATCACTCTGCCAACAAAAGTGTTATAGTCAAGGCTATGGTTTTCCCAGTTGCAATGGATGGCTGTGAAAGTTGGACCATAAGAAAGATTGAGCGCCAAAGAACTGAGGCCTTTGAACTACGGTGCTGGAGAAGACTTCTGTGAGTCCCTTGGACTGCAAGGCGATCAAACTAGAAGAGATCAACCCTGACTGCTCTTTAGAAGGCCAGATCCTGAAGATGAAACTCAAATACTTTGGCCACCTAACAAGAAGGAAGGACTCCCTGGAGAAGAGCCTAATGCTGGGAAAGATTGAGGGCAAAAGAAGAAGGGGACGACAGATAATGTAGTGGCTGGATGGAGACACTGAAGCAATAGGTGTGAGCTTAAATGGAGTCCAGGGGATGGTAGAGGACAGGAAGACTTGGAGGAATGTTGTCCATGGGGTCATGATGGGTCGGACATGACTTTGTAACTAACAACAATAAATCATGGAATTATCAAGAACTCCTTAGTTCAACCCTGAATTACATATCTAGATTTTGATGTAAGAAATTATATGGAACTTTGGTTTCCTTCCCTGATTCACAACTTATTAGTAAGAAGAAAGAGTAATTTTCCATTAGTAATTTCATGAAGTTTAGTTGGGTTTCATCTTCAATTCTTCCATAGTATTGTTGGATTATAGAGAGCCTTGGATCCAAATTAAGGAAGAAAGCAAAATAAATGACCAAGGGCTTAGAATGTCCCCAAATAGTTCATCCTATCCATCTTCTCTGTACAAGAAGTCCATTTCTTGCCACAATGATGAATCTAGCCACATCCATCTTAATGCCAAGTAGTCAAATATTTTTAGGAAAAAAATGGAGTGGGGGAATACATTCACTGAATTTTACTTTCAGCTTTGTCATTCATTCACTGCAAACAGATCTATTACCACTACATGGTGGTAACCATTTAATTTTTCCAAGTTTTCCATTTCCAAACCCTTCTCCAAACTGCCTTTTCCAGTAGAGTTAATGTGGCAAATTAATTGCAGCATTTGGCAAAAATAAAAAAAGACCAAAATTCCATTGTATTTTGGAATGGCACTGAAGGGCTCCCTGAGTATTTTAAACCTAACATTCTTAGTCTCCTTTTTATAAAATATATGAACATAACACTGGGCGACACTTTGAATTTTAGGTACCCAAAAGGTGCTTTGAAGAGCTCGGGAATCTGAATGTAGCACCTGCTTGCAACTCTTTAAAGCAGCTGCAAAAAAATTCTGATTTTAAGAATTACATTTCAGGATCATATTTGCTCCCCTCCAAGCTCTGAAGCATATTTTGATATTACATCCAAAGAATTCCCCAGTCCATACACATCTTGGAGAATAGATGGGCTGAAGATATTGTTTTTTTGCTTATGGAAACATTACATTATTTTGGGTGGATATATGCATAATGATTATCTTTTGAGAGCTGAATGTAATGAACTTTCATTTTAATGAATGCTGATTAGTGTATATTAAGTAACAATAAAATTTCTATTCCATTCCATTCTATTCTATTCTTCATTCCAATATTCTATTCTATTCCATTCCATATTCTATCTTCTATTTATTCTATCTTCTATAATCTATATTCTATATTGTATGTTCTATTTTATATTCTATTCTATATGCTATGCCATGCCATCCTATTCTATTCTACTCTACTCTACTCTACTCTACTCTACTCTACTCTACTCTACTCTACTCTACTCTACTCTACTCTACTCTATTCTCTTGAACTCCAGGACCATTCAATCTTAGTGAGCACTTCTGGATGAGTGAGAAATGTTTGCCCTCTCAGACAAAATACAAAAACTCTTTCCTGAAATACCTCATGCCATGAATCAGTCCGAAGTCTGCAACAATACATAAAATATGTAACCATTAGCACCCTATTTGCTGTATTGCAATTGATAAACAATCTAATTGTCTATTTAAAAATATCTATCCACTGCTGCTTAAAGAATCATTGAATGAACAGGAAGGCAACATCATTCTTTTGTTGCAAAAAAAAAAGTGTACCAATCATTTGAACATCTTTTATTCCTTTTCACATTGCAGGTTCGTTTAGAATGGCCAACAGATCTGGCTGTCAACCCACTTGACAACTCATTGTATGTGCTGGACAACAACATCGTCCTTCAAATCTCTCAGAGCAGGCGGGTTCGCATCATCGCGGGGCGCCCAATTCACTGCCAGGTTCCGGGCGTTGACCACGTGCTGGTCAGCAAAGTGGCCATCCATTCCACCCTCGAATCGGCCCGTGCTGTTGGCGTCTCTCACAGCGGCGTGTTATACATCGCCGAGACGGATGAAAGGAAGATCAACCGCATCCAGCAGGTCACCACCAATGGAGAAATCTCGGTCATTGCTGGGGCCCCGACAGACTGTGACTGCAAGATTGATCCCAACTGTGATTGTTTCTCAGGCAAGTGGTGATGGATTCTCCCGTTCTGACCCAGCCTTAGCAATCTTCTTACTCGCGAGTAAAAACAAACCCCTTTTCAAACAGGGCAGGAACAGTCTTTTATTCACGGGGATCAGAGATGTTATTCTGCTGGTTCACCCTAGTTCAGGCAAACCGGTAGTGGCGGTGGCAGGAGGCTCCGCCCACCTGCCCAGACATCATCACAGATGATCTGCGCATGCGCAGAAGTGCTACATGTGAGCGAACCAAGCACACACACACCGATAGCAAAGATTAGAGCATGTCATGCCTGACGTGGATAAACAAAAATCAAACATAATTAGTCCAAAGAAATCTTGGCCAAGAAATCTGAATTGCTTGTTGTATACTAGAAACAAACGGTTGTCTGTGACAAACCCCGCCTATTTATTTCACAGCCAGGGAGAGGCTGGCTAGCGTCCACATCTTTTTTTCCCCGAGAACCAGCTTATTGTTTCCCTTTGTTCTCCTCTCCTTTCCTCTCTGTGCATACGTGCATTTGGGACGCGCCTCATTTGTTCCCCCCCCCACTCAGCTCAGGCCCCAAAGACAGCTCTCTGTCCACCTGGGGAAGGACGGAAGGTCCTGCCTCTGCCTTTGATGCTGTTTCCTTATCAGAGCCTTCAAAAGGCTCCAAAGCCAGCACAGGCTCTCCCTCCATCTCCTCCTCGTCTGACTCTGCAGATAGCTCTACTGGCAGCCAACAGGCTACAACTTTCAGGGTTCCAAGCAGTGGTGGGATTCAACATTTTTAGTACTGGTTCGGTGGGTGTGGCTTTGTGGGCGTGGCAGGGGAAGGATACAGCAAAATCCCCATTCCCTCCACCAGGGGTGGGTTTCTCACCCCGTTCCAACCAGTTTGGTTGGAACGGGGCCGGCGGCATCCTCGTGCACGCGCGCGGTGCACGCATGCGTACTAGCATCTGCGCGATGCTCCAGCTGCTCCTGGAGGATCGCGCAGGCACTGTATGTGTCCTGCGCATGCGTGGAAGCGCAGAACTCGTCAAAACCGGGTAAGGACCGCGGGCGGGCGGGTGCGCCCTTCACCGTTCCTGGAAGTTACTTACTTCTGGGTTCGCTGACCAACCGGTTCACAGGGACCGCCGCGAACCAGTTGAAACCCACCCCTGCCCTCCACACTCTCAAAATTCCCGCTACCGATTCTACAGAACCTGTCAGAACTAGCTGAATATCCCCTCTGGTTCCAAGTAATACACCCACCGCAAGCAGAACTCTGAGGCAAGTAGTCTCCCCAAAGAATAGTTTTATTAGGAGAACAACATCTCCTTTCCACCTGACCCTGTGGTGATTTAAATGATGATTTATTGCATAAATAGATTTGTCTTCATAGGGGTGTGATAGAATGTTGTCCAAGTTCCCAGGAGGGAAGGGATGCGTTCCAGAGGAGCAAAAAGACTATGTAATTTAGGGAGAAAGAGGGTGGTATACCAAATACCAACCAGAGGTGATATTTGCTGGTTCTCTAAACTACTCAAAACCTCCGCTACCGGTTCGCCCGAACCGGTCCGAACCAGTTGAATACCACCTCTGGTCCAGAAGTTTAGTCTTCTGAGCTTTCGGAGTCGTGCTGGAGCCCAGCCTCAGAGAACTTCTCTCTCTTCTACTGTCACATTCCAGTAGAGAGAATTTATTTGAGGATGGGCTCCAGCGTGACTCCGAAAGCTCAGAAGACTAAACTTCTGGTCCTGGTGACTGATCCAGATTGAATAAAAGAAATTACTTAGAAGAGTTTCACTGTGTCTTGGTTTTCAAAGCCTCGCAATGGAATGCCTTTGCTTGGAAGATGGGCGTTGGAGTTCCCCAGATGTATTCTAATCTCCTCCCTGAATGTTCAACTTGGTTTTTGTGATGCCAGTTTAAGCCTCATTTGGAATGATGGAAGCATCATCCACAATCAAGCAACCCATTTTGAATCCGGGAGGCTTGAAAACAGAACAATGAGGTTTTCACAAAATCATGACTGTATATTCAATTTTTTCCAGCTTGGAGAATGTGAACTTTCACCCCTCCAAGTCTCCCTTGTCTACTCTTTGAATGCAAGTGTTGCTCCTGTGTTTCTAGGGTTGGAAAAGACAGTTGTCTAACCAACATTAATGTGGACTTCAGTTCCACAGAGTGCTGCTTTTCCTGGTCAGAGGGCAGAGTTCACATGCTTTAAAAACAAGAAAGTGTGTCAGGATGAATGACATTATCTTAATTGCAAAATTGGCTTACTTCGGTTTTTTTAGAAGTGAAATAATTAGTCAGCTTGAGGATTGCTAGCATTCTGATTCTTCTGCCTCAATGCAATGATCTTGCTCTGTGCAAGAAGAAATAGGGCAACTGTGTCCCATTATCAATAGTTTGTCAGTCCTGCAGCCATCTTTCCTTTGGGATCTTTGGTCTGCCACACTTTATATTATTCTACTATGTATTTTCTATTGTGGGAAAATGGGAGGGGGGATTGTAGGAGTGAGATGCGATGTAGCTATAACAAAATTCTTTCTAGAAAGACAAGGTCTTTGCACCTCTGTGCCTGACCGGAACTGGGTGGAACTGCCAGTGTGGCAGTGGACCATGTGATAGATTTGTGGGTGTGGGGGGAAGATCTTGAACTTTCTAGAAAGAATTTTGTTATAGCTACATCGCATCTCACTCCTACAATCCCCCCTCCCATTTTCCCACAATAGAAAATACATAGTAGAATAATATAAAGTGTGGCAGAC